TGAAAAACTCCAGGGTTGACAAATGAGATCGTCATAAATATAGCATGCGGAAGCAAAGAAGCGCCACGACGTCGTATACATCGTACACCGAACAACAAAGCCTCTCATAGATATCTTTACACTTTGCCCCTAACACTTCCGGAGCTCGGGCACAACACATAAATAAGGAGCTAGCTTCTCTGGGCCGAACTCTGCGCCCCGTGTATCACAACCAGGTATATGGCGACTGAGGCGGGCCGGGGGCGCGCGGGGAGCGGGATATGTCAGAGCCGGGACCGGGACGCTCTGAAGACGCACCAGCCGGCCGTCACCGTCAGCCGGCTGTCGTGATATGATGCTCCCGAAGCGGAACAGGTGGATGGAAGACAGGCTGAAGGTGGGAGGAGCCAGCGGTACGACATCCATTGGGTGGGAGGGACGGGAACAGTCACCGGACGCCGGGCCCCAGGAACGGTGAGCGAGGTGACGAAGTAGTCGCACTGAGTTCGTCAGGCTGTCCCGACCGACACAAAGCTGCCCGACTTGTTCCTTCCGCTAGATTCGCCACGGCTCGAAAGTCCACTCGGCATAAAGGTGCATCAGCGAGTCGTTCGCCGGGGCTGTCATTTCTCCACCACCGAACACTCAAACCGGGGCCTCGCACTCAGTCCACATAGTTTATCTCTGTCCTCGCCCCTCTCCTTTTCTCACCCTCTGTCCCATCACGTTCCGTCAGTGACCGGCTCGAAGCCGAGGTTTTTCCTCTGCAGGAACATGTGGATCTCGCCGAAGGTGGGACGCGCGGTCGGGTCGACGCGCCAGCACTCGCACATCAGGTCGAAGATCTCTCTGGGGCAGACGTTGGGCTGCTGGAGCAGCTGCTCCGCGCAGCTGACCGGCGGCAGGTAGCTGGCCAGCCGGTCGGTGACGGCTGCGTCCGAGAGGTGCGCCAGCGGCTGGAGCCGACACCAGGTCAGGATCTCCCAGAGGGTCACCGAGAACGACCACACGTCCGAGGACGAGCTGCACTGCTCCTGAGGAAGAGCAGCGGAGAGGGGTCAGAGAGGGCCGTGAACTTTAGGGACAGGTGATGAAAGGTTGGTATAGGTCATGGAAAATGGTCTAAGTTATAACAAGCTTCCTTAGTACCCCGACCAATAGCACTCAGGGTCATTAGCAGTCATAGTGAGCCAGTGCTGGTCAACCAAAGGTCAGGCCGGGTCACCGGCTCTCGCCGCAAGATCAATGGCTCCGCACTCGGAACAAACGACCCCCACATGAGCGCTCGTAAACCCCAGCCAGCACTCAGAACAGTCCACAAAATCCACACCGGCACCTCGGAACCAGCAGCGCGCCGCTAAAACTCCTTCCGCGACACTGCCCGCGGGTCTGACCCCGTGTTTAAACGGAGCTGGGTACCCAGACGGGGTAAGCAGCCACCAGATAAGGCCCGCATGGTCTCCCAGTGGACGATAAGGTCTCCGGAGACGGCGACCGGCCGACTGGAGCCACCATCTCATCTGCGGCGACCGGCGCCGACTGGTCGCTGGAGATAGCGCGGCGGCGACACGGCACAGCCGGGGCAGGTGGTGGCACAGACCAATTGGGGCCGATTACACGGGGACTGGGCCGGCGTGGGGTCGGCAGCGGACGGTAAACGGCCCGCAGCGGCCAAGGAACACCACAACACAGCGCGGCACATCCAGAGACGGTCAACGCACAGCGCAGTCGCTATAAGTACACAATCGTATACCACAGACACGTATGTACACCCGCACTCACGCTCAGCGAAAACCAGCAAGAAGTGACGAACATGAAGCGAACACAGAGAGGCTAGTTCGAACAAAGGCACCACAGGCCTCCATGAGTCGGTGGTCGTCGCCCACAATCGGCCGTCTGGACAGTAGCAGATGGCACCGTAAAAACGCCAGGATCTCACCGGCACCAACCGCACCTGACAATCGCGCGCCTGCACAAAAACCGCCGCAGGAACGCCGAACGGCCCGCTCGGCAAAAGATGCCCACCGAATCCTCCCGCGGAGGGAGACATAAACACCACTAAGCTGTCCACTTCTGCGATCGGGTCGATAGCACCACCGATACAAACACCCGGCACCTCTCACCGATCCCGTATCGTAACTACCACGGCTGGGAGCCGTCCCCACCGCCCGATCCCCAATCCGCCGTCAGCGCGGCGAACTCACCGTGAAGAGGGCCTCGGGGGCGTGCCAGCGCAGTGGCACCACCCGGCCGTCGGGCAGCGTGACATAGTCGCTGGCGTACTGGGCCCGGCTCGGCCCCAGGTCGCCGACCTTGACCTGCAGCTGGTGACCGACCAGGCAGTTTCTGGCCGCCAAGTCACGGTGCACTATCCCCAGAGTTTCCAGGTGTTTCATCCCGGCCGCCACCTGGGTGGCCATGTAGATCAGAGAGCCGTACCTGCCGAGGAGGACGAGAAAGGGGACATTTAATGCCTGATGTTAAGTTCCCGGTCCGTCCCTCCCGTTTCTACTCAGTTGGTGCTGACCAGTCGCGACGACTAGTTCTAACGGCAGAGAATGCATTTCATGTTTTATTCAGAGTCGTGTCCGACCGCAGTCGGCTCCATTCGCCGACGGTCGACGCACTTAACCGAGTCGATAACTGTCCAACTTAGAGTGTCCAATCCGGGCGACAAAATGGATCGTAAAGCCGTGCCGCCGGCCCTGACCGAGAGATTCGAAAGGGCGTCAGATCGTGGGGAGTCCGATTAAAGCCAATAAAAACAGCTAATCACCGTGATAGAGGACCGGCCAAACACGGAAGCCAGCACTATAAAGGGCCACCCAGCGCGAGCGACTCTCCCACGGGCCATGCCCCGAATATTTCGAGCGAACGGCGGGCTGAACAAGAACTTCGGTGCAAACGTTTAAGGACTTCCGAAACTGTTGGTTAATTGCACTTGTAAACAAACTCATGTTCGAGCTCGTCATCTCATCATGCGGACCGAAGCGCCTAACGAATAAACGAACTGAAGCCTCATCATGCGTTACTCACTCTAGCGGTCGCTGGCTGGGCCTGCCCGGGTCGAGCTGCGTCCTCCGCAGGAACTGGTTCAGGTCGCCGCGCTCCATGTACTCCACCAGCAGGCAGGGCGACTCGTCCATCGTACACACGCCCAGCAGGCGGGTGACGTGCGGGTCGGAGACGCGGCTGAGGGGCTCGGCCTCGGCGCGCAGCCGGCAGGCCGCGTCCCCGGTGGCTGAGGTGCGCAGACAGCGCGCCGAGACCAGCCGCGACGGCGCCTGGTACGGACTGTCCGGAGACGACGGAAAGTGCACCTCGCACGAGAATATCTGAAACGGAGCCGCCGGCAGGGGAGCGAGGTGTTATAACTTTGGGAATGGGATGCGAAGCGGGCGTTTCATTTCGACTTACGACACGCAAGGGACGAGGGAAGGCTCTGTTAGCTCCGCTATGAATTCCGTGGTGGCACATCGGCTTTGGTAAACGATATTACACGAATGAAAAAAGAAAACATCCCAGTAAAACTCAGCGGTCATCACTCCCCGCCTCAGCGTCTGGTGACTCACCTCTCCGAAGCGTCCCTCTCCGATCTTCTCTCTCCTCTTGATCATGTCGGCTCCGACCTCTCGCACGTCCGCCAGGCCCACGTCAGCCCTCCTGGTCTGCCACACGCAGGTGCCGGTGACGCCCTCCACGGAGCGGGCCAGCACGCGGCGGCGGCGCGACAGGGTGGCGGCGGCCGGCGGCTCGGGCGGCGGCGGCGGCAGCGGCGGCGGCGGCAGCAGCTCGGCCAGGTTACAGAGCGACGGCTGGCTGCTGGACTGGGTGGTGCCGCTCGGCGACTGTTTGTAGCTGGGGTTGTCCCACGGGTCGGCCGGGCTGCGCCCCGCCGCCGGCACGCAGTCGGTGAACGGCGGCGGTGGCGTGTCGTTGTCGACGGGAACGGCGTAGTCGTAGGAGGTGTCTGTGGGGGAGGGCGGTAAATTTGATGGCTGGTCGCATGTACGACAACGAGCAGGCAGAGACCGACCCAGCAAAATACAAAGCTGGAGTTGCATACGTTACAGCCGGCTCGTGATAGCACTAATAAGATATAGCGGCCGATACGACGGAATATAGTGTCAAGTGGGACTTGTGGGTGGAATACGGCTAACTCATGCCTGCGCCCGGAACACACAGGTGCGGTCACCGTGTTGATTGTTATTTATGCGTCTCGGTGATTTATCGCCCTGAACTGGGCCGGCACTGTCGCGCTGGTCAGCGCACACCGTTTCACGCACAGTATCCTTTCACCTCCCGGACAATGGCCTCATCAGGCAGACCTTTCTGATTTCCAAACTCGTGACCCGGTATATCAGAGCAGAGCTCCGAAATGTCGGGTGCGTTCGGCCGATCCCACGGGTTCCAAACATGACTGGCATTTTAACGGTAGTTGGTGTCACTGAAAGCCTGGTCACCGTTTTAACCTTGACCCAATACCGCACTAATGAGCATTTGTCAAACGGAGTCCAAAGAAGAAATTGACGTGTAATAGGCGGTAGATCTGACCCGTCATTTTCATGAGACCCGTGCTGGGTGAGTGGTTGAGGACTGACCTGGGGTCCGCTGGTCGCGCCGCGCCGTCCTCTGTCCGGTCGTGTTATAGTCGGGGTTCAACCGGACCACCCGGTACGGCTCGGAGCCACACAGGCCCACCTTGTCCTCCTCGGCTGGCAGCGGTCCGTACACGTCGCCGTGGGACCGGGCGTAGCCGGGCCCGGCGGCCAGGTGCATGTTCAGCCGCAGCTCCTTCATGTTGAGTGTGCGCGGCAGCGGCAGCGGCGTGGGACTCGGCCCGCCGGCGACCTTCCTCCGCCGTCCGGCGCGCACCACATACCCGACCAGGGCCGAGAGCAGCAGCAGCACCAGACCGAGCACTCCCAGGATGACGGCCAGCGGCGCCGCCGAGCCGCCGGCGTCGGCCGCCGCCGGACCGGGGGGCGGCGCCGCGCCGTCATCACCGCCGGCCGCCGCCGCGCCGCCCGCAGCGACCAGGTGCGTAATGTTGGCGGTGGACGGTGCTGGGGAGAGGACAGAGGGTCAGATTAGGGTCACAGAGCGGCCAGCTGGAGACACACCTGCTGATTGGGATTAACCTCCCCCTCCCCCTGCCGGCCGGTGATGAGATCGATGGGACGCGGAAATCAGGGGACGCGCGTCCCGGCCAATTTGTTGTGACGGGAACGTGTGTTCGTGGTTATCGCGCGTGTCATCTGGTCAGTGAGGGGACTTACATGACACGCGATTTGTATTAGGGTTAATAAGCTTTGTTCATTTTTTAATTATAACGATTGTTGATCAGATCAGAGTATTCGGCTTTGTTTCGCATTAGCTCATTATAAAAAGAAGTCAGATGTTAATGAACTTCGAGCTTAATCTGCACACGATTTTATTCGGTGGGCGAATCTTTACGAAGGAGCCTAACCAATGCCATTTGAGCCCTGTGCCCGTTCCCGGTATCTTCTTAGCTTTATCACTCCACAGAAGATCCTTCCCTTCACAGGATCCTACAGCAACACTAAATCTGAACCCCTAATTATGCAAATTGCAGAGTCAGTATGCATAATTTAGCGCGTTCATTTTCTGCTATTTGATTGCCTACGCGAGAGCCTCAACGGATCGAGTCACTGAGCGCGAGAGCGAAGATAGATTCTGACGACAGGCCAATGGAAAACTCCCCATCCGAATCTCATTCTGTTTGGAATGATTGCGTTCTCGAATGATTAGAGAAGTTCCATTTCGCTGCGCGAGGAGTATCAGCAGCGGCTCTGCGATATGTCTCTCGGTGGTCCGTTTTTCGGAACTCGGGGCGACTCATTCCCGCAGCAGGTGGCGATCGTGATTCTCCGATATTGAGTGAGATCCATGCCCAGCCGGCGACACAGCTGCCATCAGCACTAAATTCCGGCGACCGTGCACGCCTCTGTCCCCCTCACCCTCTGCCAGGGGGACGGGGAGGGGGTCTTTCTCTGGGTCACCGCAGAGCGGCCCGCAGACGGGCGCGCCGCCGCCGCCGCCGCTTGTTTGGCTTACGGGCCCCGGCTGAGTTACGACCGACGTTAGCTTTGATCGGCACAAAAACGACCGCATGAGCCGGCCGGCGCAGCTGGGAACGCATCGATGACGACAGAGTCACCGCCGTCGCCGCGGCGGCGGTCTGACCCCCCCCCCCCCCCAGGCGACCCGCCGAGGTCCGAAACGCTCATCATGCGTGGGGGTAAAAACTGGCCCCAATCGATACATGAAACCAATGGGGTTGGACAGGCAGAGCCGTAACGCAATAGGGTCAGGGCGATAGTAAACATTTTACGGCGCGGCCCGTGCATGAACGGAAACCTTATCTGATCGCAGATCACTATTCGGGATCAAACGCTGAAAGCGGCGTCGCTGCTCTAAGCCGGGATAGTGCGACTATAAAGGTGGAGGCTGTGACCCGGGGTCGCGTCCTGTGACGACCCCGGGCGCTATAGCAGGTCACGGGGCGGAATATACGGCCGACAGCGTCACTCAGACCAGTTTATATCTGGCGTCAAAACAAACTATAGAGAATGACACGGCTCCCTCTCTCCCTCTCTAAATGAGATCCCATGTTGGCCTCATTTACCCCGACCTTCCCTCGCCCATGTAGGGGGGGGGTTGGTGCAACCCCCCCCCCTGAGGTTTTTCGGAAATAGTGCAAAAACGGCGGCGCGCAGCGCCGCCAAATTTTAGGTACCTTATGGGGCAAACCTTGCGCATCTTTTGATAAAAAACATTTGACCGGGTCATGTCAGGTCACGGAGTTATGACGTCACAAAGGGAACAGCCTCCGGCCGGATTTTCACAAACTGAGTGCCAACGCCCAAGGTTTCCTGCCGGTGGTACGGACATCGGTTGATGGATCGTGATGAAACTTCCCATGCATGTTGGGGCAAGTATTGGCTATCATATGGTATAAGAAACTTGACCGGGTCAGGTCAGGTCACGGAGCTATGACGTCACAAGAGGAACAGCGTCCGGTACTATTTTTGAAAAGCGCCCGAACCACTATTTTGTTAATTCTTGTCACCTCAATGGGAATATGCAGCAATATTAGCTTCTATAGGGAGCAAATGGACCTTCCAAATCCAAAAATACAATCAGATTTCAAAAATTTAAATTTTGATTTTTCGAATTTCTGCCGCCGACTGTGACCTTGCCGACTTCCGGCGCTCCCAACGCGCCATTTTTAGAGCTAGGGAAACGAAATACATACCAAACGATAGAGAATTGATCAAGGAACACGATAGTGAAGGTTTCAAGTCGATATCTCCCATCGTTTTGCCGCAATCGCCGCGGAAAGTTGAAAAAAATCTATTTTTCCGAAAATTTGACCTTTGACCGGTCAAAAGTAGGTCAAATGTTGACCTAGGACCAAAAAATATACCACCAATCGCGAGATCTCGGCGAGAGCAATCCGTTGGTCTTTTCCGCTAAGCTCTACGACGCTCCGTTTTCAAACGCCAAGGGGGGTTGCACCAACCCCCCCCCCCCCCCCTGCATGGGCGAAGGTGGCAGATCGCCGTTTACGGGCGAGGGTTAATTAACCCACAAGGGACAAAAACAGCATCGTGGTCTAAAACAATGCCTCGGGGGATAGATTACGAAAGACAGCACACTGCAGCTCACACGATAATATCTGTTAGCAATTTAAAATGGCGTTTAGAGAGGAATACGCATTGAACACTCACCGCCCTCGAAGTTGATTTCGGAGATGAGTGTCCAGGTGTCAGCGGCGGTCAGGTCGATGCGGACAAACCGCGCCACCTGACGATGCAGACTAATCCGCAGTTCACGAGAGTCCTCGAAGATACGGTCCGCGTCCGGCCTCAGCTTCACGGCAGTGTCCGTGTAAACCTCTCCGTCCAGAGAGAAACGCAAGGCCGCCTCCGAAAATATCTGCCACGGGTAGCGGGCGGGGTCACGGGTCAGTCGGAGGTCACGACGAGGTCACGGATAAGCTGCAGGTCACGGTGAGGTCACAAACCGGCCATCACCACACTCGGGGGCGGGGCACACCGTATTGTGGTCAGAGGTCAAACAATAGGCACATATGAGATGGGCGCGACTAATTTGGTTTTACGGTCATCTGTTTATGAGAGGGCGATGAAGCTCGTTTCAGATGGCTAGCGATAGCAGCCAACCGTCGGCTCCCTTCAAGTCACCGCTGAATGTGCAGTTAATCGCGACTACTAAACTGTAATAAAACGATACTGCATAATCGTGATCACCCATCGCAGTTCGATGGCTTGACAAAGAGCTGTAACCGAGGATTGGCAGTGACCGCGCCGGCGATGGACCTCGGGTGAATGTGAATTGATGTGTGCCGTTCGCACTCGTCAGTCGTGTGTGCACAGTCACTTAGCGGGGTGCTACCGCGCAGTGGTCTGATGTAAGCCTGAGACCGTCGAGTTTTACACTGGGCTTGTCGAATCGAATAGGACTGGCTGGTGAGAAGATGGAAGTTTTTGTCTTAGCCCTTTCAAACTACGATGGTAATTGATGTTAGGACGATGATAATTTGCGGATAATTCGTGTGGATATCTTATTTGTTTACCACATCTCGGTAAAGGATAATTAATTTGCACTGCGGCTTTGTTGTGACTTGTGGATAATGAGCAGCGAGGTGTGAAAATATCAAAAGCCAAGTCACTTCCACATTATGTTGTAACTTATACCGCACCCTGATACTGACGGCGAGTGGGAACACGCCTAGTTGATGTTTCCGAATATCATAAACTGTGCTCATATTAATGTCTCTACCACACCTCGCCATCAGTACTCCAAAGGCATCTCCCACCTCACTCTTGAGGACCCTTATGTGCTCAGAGGGCTCCACGTCACCCTGTAGGAGGGGCACAGGCTGGCCCCTATCACCCTGGAGGGCCGCACGAGTCCCCGACTCTCCTGGAGGACCGGGCAGCTCTCCCTGACTCACCCTGGAGGACCGGGCAGCTCTCCCTGACTCACCCTGGAGGACCAGGCAGCTCTCCCTGACTCACCCTGGAGGACCTGGCAGCTCTCCCCGACTCACCCTAGCGTTGGCCGTAAAGTGGTTGCTGACGAAGAAGGTGGCCGCCTCCAGCTCCCTGAGTCCGCTGAAGCGGAAGGTGATGGTGACGGTCTGGCCGGCCGTCCTCCGCCAGCCCACCCACTCGGGTCCTGTCGACACGGACAGACGCGGGTCAGACGCGGGTCAGCCACGGGTCAGCCACGGGTCAGCCACGGGTCAGACGCGGGTCAGCCACGGGTCAGACGCGGGTCAGCCACGAGTCAGCCACGGGTCAGCCGTGTGTCATAGGACGCCACGTGTGGTTAGAACAGCCACGTGTCAAAATCAGGGACAGTGAATTCAGTCACATGACAATTCAGAGGGACGAAATTGGTCTCTGGTACCCGGGACAGACTTGTTTCTCCGAACTGATGTCGTTCCAGATGATCAGATCAAGGCTATTGCCGGTGGACGATTGACTGAATGCCTCAGAATCCCGGCATGTTTGGTGCTGCGCTCAAAGCTTTTTCAGTTCTGTGCAGCTTGTTGACATTGGAGGAAATAGGCTCGCTGATAGAATCAAAGTCCTAGCTCACAAGAAAACAGGGATTTATAAAACGGAGGTCGAACGAAACAAGTGCGCGCCATTTCAAAGCTGCTCAGCAAGCGAAGCGGCATTTCAATATTTGCTTTTACCAAGGTAGCAAATATTACCACTGCGCTGCACTGCTTTTATGATATAGCCGAATAATTCAGGCGCACTGATGTTAGTTCGGTCGTTACGCTTAGTTTCTTCTTTACACCCAGCCAGGCAATTTCGGCGGAAGCTCGGATAAAACAAACTTTGGTAATCGGGTATCGACTTGGACGATCAATTCCGGTCACGTGGTGCAATTAACAGTCGGGTAACGACCGTCGGTAAGTAGATTGAACGGCGGCACGTATGCGGCCAATCCACTCTGAGCCACCTCGGCTGAGCATGATTAACTGCGGGCCAGAGATAACGCCCCGGGAGCGCGCGCCGCTCGAAACACGTGATAAAGCAGGCATGGAACATAAAACTCGCCAGCAGGCTGATTCACTATCGGGACTTGCAGTATAACAGAAGGTAAAGCTTTAGAATGATTGAGCTGCTTGCTTACAGTGTGAATTATTTGTGCATTACAATAAAAAACGTTCGATATTGCAATTTGCTTTAAGCGACTGAAACTCGTTGATTTTATTGTTGTTCATGAAAGCCCGTCAGAAAAATTCATTATTCGCAGCAGGCTGAGTGAAAAATTCGTGCCAACTACCAGTTTTATTTGCATAGCAAACACCAATATTTAAACAAAATGAGTTTCAGTCCCTAATGGTCCATTTGTAAACAGTGTTCGGCTGATCTTCCCTGATGAATGCTGATCAGTTCCACCTACTGATCTTGACATGATCTGAACAAACTCTACCGGAGCTACATCGGACCTGATAAATGGAGAACTTTGTACATTCATAACAGACATAAGTATTTTCATTGGACATCAGAAGCAATGCCAACAGTCGATGCTTCAAAACTTGCAATGCAAACCACAAAAACATCTGTTTTTCTCTCCTTCTCTTTCTCTGTCTTCCTCTGCTCTTCCCCAGTTTCAAACATGATTTTTCTTTTCTCTCATCAAAGTTATCTTGGGATAGCTCAAATGCCCTTAACCACACAACACATTCACCTATCCGTGCTTCTATCCTCAGGATACTGAAATCTTTCTCCTCCACGCCGCAACCCCCCTCCGGGCTGGACAGGCAACTTTATCTCATGCGGGCTGCTCCCTTGGAGCGGCACCGCTGCTCCTGAGGGAGCGCACCCCGTAGCCGGGTGCAGTGAGTGCCTTGGGGCTGGGTGGCCTGTCCTCTGGACGGGCTCAGCCCCGGCGACTCACTAGGGTGCCTGCCCAGACCAATGTCTCCCCCTAATTCCTATCATCCTTCCGGCTCTGCAATGGTCTTGTCGACCGAAAGGGCCTAACCCAACAAAACAAAAACAAACAAACAACACATTCGGTTGGCCCGTTTCTCCGACATATTTCTACGCTGTCATTCAACCTCTGGTGGTTCACCACGTCAGAGAGCCCGGTCAGCCATCTTTCAGTGCCCTGTCGACCAGCCGGGTCACCGATTTCTCGTCACCCGCTAATTGCCGGCCATCCCTCTCTCACTGGCCCCGGGTGCAGCTGATTCAGGTCGCTAATAGCTTGATTTGGGGCTCGAATATAGTGAGCGGAGGATGGCCAGCACGAGGAGGGAGGGAGGGGCAGAGGGGTGGGAGGAGACCCGAGTCGTGGCGCGGTTGACGACCCGGGTCCAGGGGGAGGGGACCGGGCTTCGGCCGAGGCGAGATAAGACACGCACAGTACACAGGCCGCAAAACAGGTCGGGCAGTCCAAGGCGCGCGCTCAGAGACGGCGGACAGTGCGGAAGGGTGGAAACGAAGCGACAGGCTGTGGAAAACGATCGTGCGGTCGCAGAGGTGACGGACAAAGCGAGAGAGTGGGAATCGAGCGTCGAGCTAAGAGCTGTGAAACGAGCGAGCAGGAAAAGTAGACAAGGCCGGGAGACAGGTTTGTGGAGCGACAGAGTACCTGGTGCTCAGCAGAGGGGGATCAAGGGAGACGGACATGGCCGGTAAGTCAGGCTAGCGTGCTAGCGATACTAGTCATATAAGGAGCCTGCTGCCTGCATGGCTGACTCGCCGAAGAGTCAAGCGAATGGATTATGCTGATGCTGTGAACGAATCAATACCAGTGGGATAGACCGTGGTGCAGAGACGCACATGGCAGATGTGTGTGTCCAGAGTCATTGATAGTGAATAACTGATACAATACCACCCGCTCCATCTGGGTATGAATGTATATACCGGCTCGTCGTCCATGTCACAGTAACACAGAGCGGAGAACCAACATGTCTGAAACATGTTGACCCAGCTAAATTCGCTGTTCGTCAGGTACAACAGAACCGTACCGACGCTGCTTTTACACATGGCTGAATCGTGTGAGCTCATTAATGCGCCCGGTATGCCTGACCCATACCGGTGCAGAGCAGCAACAATCAACATGCATGAACCATGTAGACCCAGTTAAATTCACTGTTCGTCAGGTACACGGGCGCATTTGGCGATCGGTTTGCCTGAACCATATCGCATGTGGGCTCATTTATGCGCACCGTATCGGTGCGGCAATTCAACATGCATGAATCATGTTGACACAGTAAAACTCGCTGTTCATCAGATATGCCTGAACCATATCGACGCAGCGCCAAGCCACACATGCCTGAACCATGTGGGCCAATGTGGGCTCATTTATGCGCCGGGTACGCCTGCACCGTATCGGCGCGGCAATGCAACATGCATGAATCATGTTGACACATTAAAACTAGCTGTTCGTCAGATATGCCTGAACCATATCGACGCAGCGCCAAGCCACACATGCGTGAACCATGTGGGCTCATTCAGGCGCCGGGTACGACTGCATCGTATCGGTGCGGCAATGCAACATGCATGAATCATGTTGAAACAGTAAAACTCGCTGTTCGTCAGATATGCCTGAACCATATCGACGCAGCGCCAAGTCACACATGCCTGAACCATGTGGGCTCATTTATGCGCCGGGTACGCCTGCACCGTATCGGTGCGGCAATTCAACATACATGAATCATGTTGACACTGTAAAACTCGCTGTTCGTCAGATATGCCTGAACCATATCGATGCAGCGCCAAGCCACACATGCCTGAACCATGTGGGCTCATTTATGCGCCGGTTACGCCTGCACCGTATCGGTGCGGCAATGCAACATGCATGAATCATGTTGACACAGTAAAACTCGCTGTTCGTCAGATATGCCTGAAGCATATCGACGCAGCGCCAAGCCACACATGCTTGAACCATGTGGGCTCATCTATGCGCCGGGTACGCCTGCACCGTATCGGTGCGGCAATTCAACATGCATGAATCATGTTGACACAGTAAAACTCGCTGTTCGTCAGGTATGCCTGAACCATATCGACGCAGCGCCAAGCCACACATGCCTGAACCATGTGGGCTCATTTATGCGCCGGGTACGCCTGCACCATATCGGTGCGGCAATGCAACATGCCTGATTCATGTTGACAGAGTAAAAGTCGCTGTTCGTCAGATATGCCTGAACCATATCGACGCAGCGCCAAATCACACATGCCTGAACCATGTGGGCTCATCTATGCGCCGGGTACGCCTGCACCGTATCGGTGCGGCAATGCAACATGCCTGAATCATGTTGACACAGTAAACACTCGCTGTTCGTCAGATATGCCTGAACCATATCGACGCAGCGCCAAGCCACACATGCCTGAACCATGTGGGCTCATTCATGCGCCGGGTACGCCTGCACCGTATCGGTGCGGCAATGCAACATGCACGAATCATGTTGACACAGTAAAACTCGCTGTTCGTCAGATATGCCTGAACCATATCGACGCAGCGCCAAGTCACACATGCCTGAACCATGTGGGCTCATTTATGCGCCGGGTACGCCTGCACCGTATCGGTGCGGCAATGCAACATGCCTGATTCATGTTGACAGAGTAAAAGTCGCTGTTCGTCAGATATGCCTGAACCATATCGACGCAGCGCCAAATCACACATGCCTGAACCATGTGGGCTCATCTATGCGCCCGGTACGACTGCACCGTATCGGTGCGGCAATGCAACATGCATGAATCATGTTGACACAGTAAAAACTCGCTGTTCGTCAGATATGCCTGAACCATATCGACGCAGCGCCAAGCCACACATGCCTGAACCATGTGGGCTCATTCATGCGCCGGGTACGACTGCACCGTAACGGTGCGGCAATTCAACATGCATGAATCATGTTGACACTGTACAACTCGCTGTTCGTAAGATATGCATGAACCATATCGATGCAGCGCCAAGCTACACATGCCTGAACCATGTGGGCTCATCTATGCGCCCGGTACGCCTGAACCGTACCGATGCGGCGACTCAACATGCATGAATCATGTTGTCAGTTAAATTCGCTGTTCGTCAGGTATGCCTAAACCATATCGACGCGGCGCCCCGCCTGACTAAGATGGAGCCAATGAGGCTATTCGTTGGGTGCCGGGTGACGTCACCAGAACAAATGCACACATCAAAACATCGCCGTGATGGCCGCCGGGGAGTGCCAACTGTGTTCCCGCGACGGGGCTCCCCCCACCCATTCCGCTGCGCGCGCCCACCGGTCGGGCGGCCAACACTCGGCCGTCAGCAATAATAGAGCCGTTACGTCACGTCGTGACACCGCCGCCGGACGTCGCGGCGTGTAAAACCACCGCCAGTTCAAAAGGGGGAGGGGAAGGCGCGGGAGGGACGCAGGGGTCACCTCTGTGGGGCCAAGTGGTTGACCTTTTGTCCGATAACACTGGGGAGGGACCCACGACTCCAGCAGTCGGTCGGGAGATATTTGCACAGGATAACCCCTCACGCAGTCAGGGAGGACAATGGACGCAGCGCCCATTTAAGCGACCGGAATGCCTGACCCATATCGGCGTGAAGAAGCGATTGGTCATGCATGAACCATGTTGACCCAGTTCAATCACTGTTCGTCGGATATGACTGAACCGTACCGACACGGCTTACAAGCCACACGCGCCCGAATCACGTGAGCTCATTTGTGCGCCCTGTCTGCCTGACCCATATCGGCGTGAGAAATTGATCTATCAAACATGCATGACCCAGTTTGACCCAGTTAAATTTGCTGCTCGTCAGGTATGCCTGAACCGTAACCCGGTATGCCTGAACCTTACCGGCGTGAAGAATCGATTGGCCAAATATGCATGAGTCATGTTCACCCAGTTAGAATTCGCTATTCGTCAGGTATGCCTGAACCGTACCGACGCGGCTACAAGACACACGCGCTTGAATTACGTGGGAGCATTCATGCAACCGGTATGCCTGAAACATATCGGCGTGAGGCCACATCGACGCGGCTCCCAGCCACACATGCCTGAATCATGTGGGCTCATCTATGTGCCCGGTATTCTGACACGTATCGGCGCGGAAATGCAACATGCATGAATCATGTTGACACAGCTAAATTCGTTGTTCGTCAAGTATGCCTGAACTATATCTACGCGGCTCCCAGCCACACACGCCCGAATCATGTGGGCTTCCCTACACCGGTTCTCTGACCCGTAGCGGTACGGAAATGCATGCATGATTATGTTGACACAGCTAACTCGTTGTTCGTCAGGCATGCCTGAACCATTTCTACGTGGCTCCCAGCCACACACGCTTGAATCATGTGGGCTCACATACGCCGGTTCTTTGACCCGTATCGATGAGGCGATTCAACATGCATGAATCATGTTGACAGTTAAATCCGTCGTGCGTCAGGTACGTCTAAACCATATCGACGCAGCTCCCAACCAAACATGCCTGAATCATGTGGGCCCATTTATGCGCCCGGTATTCTAACACGCATCGGTGCGGCGATTCAACATGCATGAATCATGTTGACACAGTTAAATCCGTTGTGCGTCAGGTATGCATGAACCATATCGACGCGGCCCCCAGCCACACATGCCTGAATCATGTGGGCTCATTTAGGCGCTCGGTACGCCTGACCAGTAGAGGTGCGGCAATTCAACATGCATGAATCATGTTGACAGTTAAATGCGTTGTTCGTCGTGATGCCTGAATCATATCTACGCGGCCCTCAGCCCAAAATGCCTGAAGCATGTGGGCGGCTGGATTACGCGCCCGGTTCTCTGACCCGTATCGGTGAGGCGATTCAACATGCATGAACCATGTTGACCGTTAAATTAGCTGTTCGTAAAGTATGCATGAACCATATCGACGCGGCTCCAAGCCACACATGCCGGAACCATGTGGGCTCATCTACGCGTCCGGTATTTCTGACACGTATTGGTGCGGCAATTCAACATGCCTGAATCATGTTGACACAGTAACACTCGCTGTTCGCCAGGTATGTCTGAACCATATCGACGTATCGACGCAGCACCAAGCCACACATGCGTGCACCATGTGGGCTCATTTATGCGCCAGTTACGCCTGAACTGTATCGGGGAGGCAATTCAACATGCCTGAACCAGGTTGATCCATTAAAAACTCGCTGTGCGTCAGGTATGCGTTAACCATATCGACGCAGCACCAAGCCAAACATACGTGAACCATGTGGGCTCAGTTATGCGCCCGGTACGCCTGAACCCGCCTGAACCGTATCGGTGAGACACTTCAACATGCCTGAACCATGATGACCCATTACAAAACTCGCTGTTCGTCAGGTATGCGTGAAACATATCGAAGCAGCACCACGTCACAAATGCGTGAACTATGTGGGCTCATTTATGCGCCAGTTACGCCTGAACCGTATCGGAGAGGCAATTCAACATGCCTGAACCATTTTGATCATTATAAACTCGCTGTTCGTCAGGTATGCGTGAACCATATCGACGCAGCACCAAGCCACACATGCGTGAACCGTGTGGGCTCATTCATGCGCCGGGTACGTCTGAACCGTATCGGTGCGGCACTTCCACATGCCTGAACCATGTTGACCCATTAAAAAATGTATGGAACAATGGCAATTTTAAGCGGTAGCGAATAAGGAGATGGGCAAACCCTTAACCAAACCAATGCTGTGTGCATAGAGCTGCGGCCGCTCAGCGCGGCCATCGCCGAACAGGCGCACATAGACGCTTGGCTTCGCGCCGCCTTTAGACGCTTGGCTCCGCGCCGACTTGGACTTCGCCGTCGTGGGGGAATAACACACCCTAAGGACACCTGGCGACCCTCCTGGGATAGCGCTCGTCAAACGCGAAAGTGGATATGAGGGTGGTCTGTGGCCACGGTGGTGCTATTGGTTCTGGACGGCCGTTGCGGTAATAAAGCTACACCCCCAGGAAACCGACAAACAAGAGAGGGACCGTGGGACGGGCCCGCCCGTCCCGTAGTCGGACGTCGGACGGGGAGGAGAGTGAGGGAGAGAGAGAGAGAGAGAGAGAGAGAGAGAGAGAGAGAGAGAGAGAGAGAGAGAGAGAGAGAGAGAGAGAGAGAGAGAGAGAGAGAGAGGAGAGAGAGGGGGGAGGGAGAGGAAAGATAGAGAGAGAGAGAGTGGGGAGAGAGGGGGTTCGGCGACATGGGGAAGGGAAGTGTTCGTCAGTGTGTGCGGACGCTAGAAAGGGGGACCTGGCGTAACTCATAACACTAATCGCCGCGTCGGCGGGCCGATGGGAAGTGCAAACAGCAGACAGACGAACACGGCAGGCACTGCGAACAAAACACTGTTCATGCCGAACGTCGTGTGCATTGCCAACAATCAGGATACCTATATAACCGCGTACATTCTGCTCCGTTGGCGAGTTTGGCGTCTTGTTATCGATCATGATATGAACGATAACGCGATTTGGGTGCAGACGGCCATTAACAGCCAATACTGGACAACAGATCTGGGGAGCGTACGGCCTCTCTCACTGGCCCCGGGTGCAGCTGATTCAGGTCGCTAATCGATGTCAGCGCCAACCGATCGTTCATCAGCGGATTTCGGTCGGCGGCGCCCGCAGCTGCTGCAGGCGGCACAGCGCAGGAATGCCCCCGGCACGCAGAAATAGACGACCGGCGTGTCACCGGGACCGGCGCGCCGCACGTGACGCGTGCAGCGCGCCCAGCCGAGACCGGGTGAGGGTATTGATTAACGCAGGCGGCAGAGGAAGCTAGTGGAGATATCGCCTGAGACATTTTGACCCAATTGCGAAGATGACAGGAAAAACAGGTGGTCCGAATGATGAGCTGAACATGGATAACTCAATTCCAAAGTGATTGCTTCCGTGCATCTCTCCCTCGTCAAAGCTTATTTTTATCATAGACATTTTGCCAAAAGCATTGGCTTCGGCATGCATATTGGACAGAAATTACGCTGAATTCCTGAAGAAACTTTTTAGTCAATCTTGGCATTTTTCCTCCAAACTGTAGGTATCCTGCCCCACAAGAAAATAACAGTATTGAAAATCAGCATAAACACATTCCAGGAAGCATTATTAAACAACGTGACAAATAAGTCGCATTTAACTTTGAATTCCTCGCTAATAGCTGTTTAGAATTCTCTGCTGCAGCGCGCTAGCGGCACCGGCCGCCGAGAGATGTTTACCGTTTCAGTTCCGATTTTCCACTAACATCGACCTCTTGAAGCCGAATATTCGCCTATCGGGGTAACTTCTTAAGCGTCAGTGCTCCTACATATAGTTACCGCATCCATTGGACTCAGATCCCCCTTTTTCCGAATCGGACAGCTAGAAACAATGCACTAAGCATTTCAGGCTAGAAGTATTTGCACGCACTAGCATGCACTAATAGGCACAAAGGCAGCACGCTGACTCACTTGTGATGTCGTTGTTGCCGACATGACCGTCGGTGAGCTGGCCCAGACCGTTCTTCATGACCTTGGCCGAGCCGACGCCGTCGTAGGTCAGGTCAGGCCACCGTGCGTCCGGCACGTCCATGCTGTAGCTGTCGATGCCGGCTGGAAATGAAACAGAAAGGACATGGTAAATGTTTTGGCGTGGAGCAAGTATTGATGAGACGAGTCGCGATCGATATACGTTACGTTTCTTCATTTTTTACGTTACGTTTCAGTTTTTATCATTTTACGTCACTCGGATTTAACTTCGGATGAAACATACCGATGTTCAATACTTTGCATCGGAAATTGCTGTAAATGACTGTCAACATTTGTGACCGAAAAACTTTGTCCGCAAAACATAGCACAAAAGAAGAAACTACTACGTTCTGCAGGGTTTCAGCAACACTGAGAAGTTTCGAGATTACCAGAGAACCACTTAAGACTTAAATAAGTTCAAAAGCAAATCTTTCCGGACTACCAACCACGACAAAGATCGAATAAATACTTAAATGGAACTTCTCCTCTCGATAAAAACAAACAACACGCAGAGCCAGTGAAAGGAAACAGATGCTAAGTTACGTCAACTTTTAACTCCCTTTGGGGCGACAAATGCTGCAATATCATTATCCAATCGACCTAAGGCCCCGTACTCGTGCACTCATCCCATGTACCCGTGTACCCCGCACCACGTACCTGTGTACCGACATCCGTGCAGCTCGGCTCGCAGGCACACCGTTCTCGGGTGGTCACTTTTGGGCACGACGCGCACCTTGGACGCGATCAGCGGCGGGTTCAGCACCGTCTTGTGCGCCATGTACGAGTTCACGTTGCCGTCCATCACCGTGTGCCCGGAGGCGTTGCGGTAGGTCCTCCAGCCGGTGTCGCCCTCGGCGCCCGGCCGCCAGTACTGCAGCGCGTACTTCTCGGCCCACTCGACGCCGCGCCCGTTACCGAAGCGGCCCTGTGTCTCGGCGGCGGTGACGACGGTGACCCGGCCCAGGTCGATCTGCAAGTACTCGTGCACCTGGCTGGTGATGACCGGCTGAGGACACCAGGCACCCCCGCGGTGCTCAGTGCGGATCCGGCCGCTGTGCGGACCCACGTTGTTCTCGTTGTACGAGGAGCTAGCACTGATCTGGTGGTCGTTGATCTCGCCCGACTCCATCCCCAGCGCGTGGTCACATTGGTCTGAGAGAGAAGGGAGGAAGTTTGTCAGGAGGAAGGTTGTAAAAACCCAAGCAGTTGGTGGCAGCTAGAATGAGTGATTGATCAGACAGACATATCAATCATGCAACTATAGATACAAATAAGCTGAAGAAGTAAATCTTAGTGGGCTCAAAAGTAATTTCAAAACGTCTAACACAATGCTCATTCAACTCACCCAGAGTGAGGGCGTCGCTCCGTCCGATCGACCAGCAGGTAACGATGGCCTGCAGCAGCAGCAGCCTCCGGCGCCGCGGGGACAGCTCCATGGGCGGGCGGGCCATCGTTCGTCGTCAGTAACCGGCACCGTCACAGAGCCGTCCGCATAGCGTGCACCCTGGAACGAGCCGCAGAGCGTGCAGTTAACTCGGCGGCACGACTCGCGCCGAATGGGATTTTACGGAACACCACCACCAGGTATTGGCTATTAGAGCCGCGAGAAAGAGTTCAGAAACTATTAAAGTGCCGTCGTGATTGCTCGCTACAGCGGAAACGAGCTCCATGGAGCTCGTTTGGCCCGTGACGCGTTATATATGGAGTGTTATAATACCGAGAATGACACCGTGGGCTACACTGGAGGCACCACAGTAGTATTTACGGATTTCATACGACCGGGGCCTGAAGTGCACCCAGCCGAGTTGCATGGGATAGTGAACAATATAGGCAAAATGGTCGGAGACCGGTGGAAGTTCGGTGGCTAGGCAAAAAGCGCTCATAAGGCAGTAGGTAGGTACTTAACCCTATTAGTGGCAGGCTCCTGGCTACCCCCTATTAGTGGCAGGGGGGCTGTTTACGACCCCCCCTTGATATCTCGAGATCTAACGGGCCGATTTTCAAAATTCAAACGGCATTCGATTTCGCTCAACGTGATCTACATTTCTAAAAAATAAAAATTAAAAAATGTCAATAGGGGGGTAGAGGGGGGTAAAAACGGGCAAATTGCAGATACATTTTAGACTGTTTATCACGGCCAGGTTTCTGAACCAATCTTAACACAACTTTTGCCGATCGATAGAGAATGAACCAGGAATCCACATGGATCCTAAAAAATATGCATTTTCAAAAATCATAGGCGGATACAGATCATTGAGATTGGGGGTACACAAAAAGTATAGTAAATAAGGTTTTTGTTGGTACTGTTTCTAAAAAGGGTGGTAATGGTCTTGTTATGTTACAATTTTCTTATGAGAGAACGACTACAATTGTATTGGTCATGCATAGGCGGTGTCAGGGCACCTATATTGGGAGGTAAAACATAACCCCCCTTTTTGGACGCCTGGATCCGCCTATTATAGCAAAAACGTGTCAAAAGAGGATGCACAATAGCTTTGTATATGTTATCACATGATACCTTTCATTCACTGTTCGTAAAACTGGTGCAGCATCGTGATCTTCGCCCAAATGACTCGCTTCACGAATGGGACCCCCAATTCCCAGTGCTCTGGAGCCGCCCCTGGTAAAGTTATGAACTTGAAATTTTCAGGGAATGTGCCCAATTTAGTTGTAGGAAAAGTCAGAAAATTTCAGCATCGTAGCTTCAGCGGTTTCGGAGATATTCCCGAAAAACCTGAGGGGTGGATAAAAACAACCCCCCCTGCCACTAATAGGGTTAAGTTATGTGCTTTAGCCATGTCTATAACAAGTAGGAGTCACGAATGCCATCGCAGTAGCCGGCAATTCGTGTCGACTTAATAATGCAATTACCGTTCTTTGCATTCTCCCGTATCTACGTGATAATATGCTATTAACATGCTTGTTCAACGAACAGTTTGCAACGCTTTGATCATCTTCTTAGAAACGTTGCATGTAAGAGCTCAATCAATCGCGTGGAAAATCAAAGCATGATTTAAGTGATTTATGAAATAAAGATGGACAGGCATTAGGCACCATATGCTCCACGGCAAGTGCTACCCACCTCTGCTAATATATCAATAACATACTTGATACAAGTGCATCTATTTCTAATAAATGACCGAGTAAACTTACTTAATAAATCTGAAATTACATGAGGTTTTCTGGCGAAAGGTACGGTACAGGCCAACAAGGGTAGAGACGAAGATATGATTTATCGTGTTTAATTAATACCCAAGTTCAGTCTCCAGTCAACCAAAGGCGTTATCGACAGGTCATTGTCCTTTTCAAAGATTCACAACAATTGACAATTGAGAACAAATAATTACTTTAACGAAAGATTAGCACACCCACATCCCATCCAGCCGTCAGTGAGATAATTTGCTGCTTGTTCAGACGCCTTTCAAACCGCCTCGGTAGCCGCTGTCCACCTGCCAAAACACGGCGTATCTGCCCGTCACTCGGGCCCTCGGACGTGTGTCGGCCCGTCACTCGGTCCCTCGGACGTGCGTCGGCCCGTCACTCGGGTACGTGTGTCGGCCCCGATTCTATCGGCGGCCGCCATTGTGGCACCGGCGGCCAATGAAAGCCGCGTGCGTCCCGCAGATTGATGGCTGCGATGATGAGACGGACGGAAAGGATTGGCCGAGACGGCCGGCTCGTTACAAAACTGCGCCCGCAATCCTGCACCTGTCACAACTGTTTTCCTTTTTGGTGACGGCTAATCACGCAGAAACGCGTCTCCGGACGATTTTTTGCTGCGCTGCAGAGCTTGAGGTCCGAAAGTGATGCGAAGCGTAGACGATGTGACGTTTATCAGATAGGATCTGTCGGACTGGATGTTGTAAGTACAAAACGGCGGAGAGCTGACAGCCTGCTGAGTCAACTGCTGTGGGTGCGGTGACGGGAACAGGACACAGAATCAGCATGCACCCCGACAATCCGGTGGGTTTGTTCCGGCACACCACGCCGTGACATCCAGCTGTCAGGGAGTCAGTGCAGCGCGCCCGCCCTCGTCTCTCAACAGCGGCTCCTCTGGCCTCCCCCAAACCCGTGCCGAGCTGTCTGACTAGGCTGGCCTTCCCAGACCCGTGCCGCGCGGTCTGACTGCATGACTCGTCAGCCGGGCGCGACAGACTCCCTGACATCTCGGGGTGGGTTCCGCCCGGTTCAGGGGTAGGTTCAGCACATTTCAGGGCACAGTTCAGAGCACGGTTCAGGGAAGAGTCCAAATAGGGTCTAAAGCACGGTTCAGAGCCCGGTTCAGAGCCCGGTTCAGAGCCCGGTTCACCACCACAGTCGCCGCTCCGTCGTCCGTCTCGCCCGGTCCCAGCTGGCGGCGGTCACGTCTGGGAGCGGCGGCGGGTTTTTGCGGCCGGGACCGCACAGTGAGCTGATTAATCGGTGGCACCGGGCTCTCTTCGTGTGGGAGCTTCCGGAAGCACGGTCCGCCGGGGAGACCCGCGCTGGCGGCGGGGACAGGGGAGGAGGGGTGCCAGCCAGGTGGTGAGGAGACATGTGGGTGACAACTGTGTCCGCCTGTTTAATGTGCGCTGGGTGGTCCAAGGGATGTGAGGAAATTAAAAGTGGTATGAAATATTAAGGCCATATGGCGTGCAGACTGCCTCCTCGCTAGTATGAGCGCTTCTCTCATATGAAGGGCTCCGGCGGGACTCATATGTCAGAGCAACTTAAATCCTCCATTTAAAATGCTAGCCCATGGTTGCACCGTCAGCAGGAAACTGAGAAGGCTCGGTGAGGCATCTAAATAGTTTGCCTCAGGAGGATATGGTTTGAGACAAGAAGCAGTGGGACTGAAGGACTGGATGGGGTGTAAAACGTAACGCTGTTCAGGCACATATGTACAGGGTGATTTTTTTTACTTGTTAAAAAGTAATGAGGTCTAGTGGGGTTAAAATGCAAATATATCCTGCAAAATTATATGCCAGGATGACGAGCATTCTGGGACATTTTGACTTCATACAGACACGATGTGAAGGAACGTCTATCGTGCATTTTACTTGTGCTTGAAGTTACCCCCTCTCTCACCGACACGAATCAGCCCGCCTGAGCACGTGTTGAACAGCACCATGGACTCCCATACTCATTAGGCGGACTGAAAAGGCTCCTATCGCCCATTTTCAGCTCTGCCAGATATTTCCACTGTTTTCTTGTTATATCTGCCATAGCTGGGTCCAAAAACTAGAAGTTTAGGGAGGGCAGGTCGAGGATTTTGATACTGGCGGCCCTGATGGTGTCTGATTCGCTGTTTTTCTTTCTCCCTGAAGACTGATTCTTCAAAAGCTGCTCATACGCCAGATGGACCGTTTGAAGGTTATTTATGACTACAAGCTTGTTCATGCGTTATTTAACGTCTTTCTGAGGTATCTCCTTGATCATCGTATGCTTCGAACTGCCTCAATGCTTCAAAATCATCGTTTTGTGTCGTTCCTTACTGAACGGCGGTGGACCATGCGTGCCCGATTGGTGGGTCATTTTCAGGCTTCATTGGGGCCGAGGCCGTCGGTTAAAAGGGACAAATGATGACACCATACAAAATGTCCCAGATTTATCTATCACGTGCATTGCTTTTTTGCACGCCATTTTTCGATTTAGGGACCACCATTGACGTTTACTTTTTAACAGTTAAAAAAATCACCCTGTACATCGGCACTGGTAATACAGGTTATTCTTCATTTAAGTGTAGTAACACACCATTTTGTTTTCGACTGTGACATCACACACAGGAAATAATTTCACCTTTCCCACCGATCATTTATAATTCTAAAATCTGCATTTTTCCGTCGCTGTAAATAATCCAGGAAGTTCCCGAATTACGGGTCAGCTCCCGAATTACGCTGATCCGACTACCACGCACCACGAGAGATTAGCATTCAAACACGGATCTCAAATTCACAGCTGTTCGATGGGCCAATCGCCCACAAAACCGCCTTTCATTCCGCCGAATTTCGGAGGGCTGGAGGGCTATTTTAAGCACCCTCGTTCGATGTCGTATTGTTCGCGACCGCGCCCCCATTCGTCGGCCGGTGGATGGCGGCCACTCAGCCTCTCGTCCCTCTCGACGGTCGCTTTCTGTCGCGCCGGTGGCTCGCCGGCGGAGAATAGCCTGCTCGACTGTGATCGAATATCGACGTGCGCTCGCTCGGTCGTCCTCCTGGCCTCTCCCTGGCTGTGGCCGGCGCCGGCACTGGGCCCTGGTACCGCTGCCGCACCGGGAGCTTTCCGAGCTCCTTTGTCGGTCCTGCTGGGCTCTGTGGAGTCTCTCGGTCGGGGACGGCCTCACCATCGCCGGAGAGAGGGAGACAGAGTGAGAGGGGAAGAGACAGACGACACGTTCCTGCCGAAGTCGACGCGAATCGTCGGTCGTCGTCTCTGACGCGTCCGACCGCAATATCGGGCTAGAAATGTGCCGGGCCCAGAAATACGGCGCCGCGAGAAGCCGCGGCGGCCGGCGCCAGATGAAAA